GGCACATAGCACTCTCTCTCCACTGTTGGCTCTGCTTTCCAGTGAGGTGACTACATTCTCAGGCTCCCTGTCACAGGTGGCAGGGTGGCCACTTAGCTACCATATGAAAGAGATTGACTCTTTCCTGCTTGTCTCAGGACCAGTCTCGTGGAGGTCTCTCATTGTCTTAGTTCCTATCTGGTGCCCTGAGCCAGTCACCATGGCAGTGGAGAAGGGAAGTGGAGTAAGAAAAGAGTAATTGATGCTGAGCAGCCAGTTATATCTCCAAAGGTTCAAGGACACTGGCCTAGGTTGGCAGGGTATTCTAAAAGGAAATTGAGGTGCTGGTCCAAATCAGGAAGAGGCAGGTGGAGCAGGCAGCCACAGGCAGTGTTGAGTCAGAGAGATACTGGATGTTTTACACAGGGAGGGATAGACAGGGTCTGATGCCCCTGAGATGACCTGTCCACTGAATGCTGAATGGACAAGATAGGAGGAGGGCAGAGTAGAGGTGGGAAGAGGCATTGGGGATCAATGTCACAGTCTGGGAGAGAGGTGTGTTGGTGTGGCCAGGCTAGTGGGAGTGGAGCAGAGATGGATGAGAAAGAAGCACAGAGCCAGAGCTTGGTGAGAGACTAGGGAGGAGTGGGGACAGGTGGATTGTAGCCAAGAGCCAGGATTTGGCCCAAGCAGCTGAGGCAGGGGGCTTCGGGGAGGGGAAGGTTGTGGGAGGGTTGATTTGAGGGGAAAAGTGAGATTTCATCTTTAGATGCCCTGCATTTGAGTAGCCCTGAAAAATCCATGGGCAGGAGTCCAGGAGGCATGTTTTTGGGATATACTTGCCCCTGATTCTTATAAAATACTAGTGGCCCAGTGCAGGAATTCATGCACATTGAAAGGAAATTAATTAGAATAAATATTTTATATCGCTATTCACCCTTTCTCTATAATAGAAGTGTCAACTAAATTCACAACCAACAATGACAGATCAAAACACAGGCGTTCAATTGGTGCCAGCAAGGGCTTTATATCTATTGTGCATGCATGAGTCAACTTAGCCTTTTATATATATATATATATATATATATATATATATATATATGATAAACTTGCTTAATTAGAGCCACTTTCTTTATATATATATATATATATATATATATATATATATATATATATATATATATAAAATTGATTTTTCACAGAGAGGAAGAGAGAGAGAGATAGAGAGTCAGAAACACTGATGAGAGAGCATCATCAATCAGCTGCCTCTTGCACACCCCCTACTGGGGATGTGCCCGCAACCAAGGTACATGCCCTTGACCAGAATCGAACCTGGGACCTTACAGTCCGCAGGCCAATGCTCTATCCACTGAGCCAAACCAGTTTCGGCTAGACCCACTTTCTGATGTAGCTAAACTTTTTCCAGCCCAATGAAGCACCCCAACTTCTCTTTCAGGTAATTGTCAGAAACACAGCAGTAAATATCAACATGAAGCAAATTATTATTGTAGAGCATGCAGGGAGACAAAGAGTAAAATATTTCACTGCAGCAGTGTTTGACTATATTCTGTGCAGTGAGGAAACCTGAAGTCATTTTCAAAGTCCACCATTTCTTCTTTTCAGTCAGGTCAAGTTTCTAAGCTTTCTAAATCTTTGTTTTCTAGCTAATGAAAAGAAAATAAGATTCCACCGAGTCTCCTATCTACCTACTCAGGGACTTCTGTGAGGATCAAATGAGATGAGGCATAAGAAAAATGCTTCACATACATTTGGTTAAAGTGTAAAATGTTTCCACCTGGCTATAAAGCAAGGCATGTTCCTGAGCTGAAGAAACTGCAAGGAAGCTAGTTGTCACCAGGGAGAGGAAGCCAGGCATTGCTATTACCCGGATGGATGCTTAACATATTAGCCTTTTATATTTATAGATAAGAAGGATAAATAAATTGAATAATGGCTGTTCAGCCCAGTAGAATGCATGGGAACCAAGGGAAACCTTTGCTCAGGAACAACTTACTGAGCTATTTGCAGGGAATGTGTTTCTGGAACAATATCTGCCTGGTCTAGTCCCTCCCTTAAGAGTAAAAACCTCCTAGGGAGCTAGGTGGCCAGGACCAGTAGGGTGGGGGCATGCAATGAATCTTAGTCCAATAGATGGATTCCACTCCCCAGGAGTTGACATGCAGCTGTGGTTATTTATGAGAAGCGTGGTGACATGGAAGACTTCTGGACAAACAGCCAAAACTCAATGCAGAATAGCATGGCCAGGCAGCAGAGGCCTTGGGGTCTCTGAGGAGAAGGGGGTTAACACAGTGCTGGTGTGATCTGGGGTGGCTTCCTGCTGACAGAACTGGAGTGACATCATCAGTGTGCCAGACAAAAGGAAGACCATGAGCTCAGGCAGGGGGTGTAAGCCTAGGTGTGGAGTGTGCCTTATCCTGCCCATAGCTGTTGGGTCTCTAAGAACTTTCTAAGTTAGATCAAGACACCAGGGCCTCTCTGGGCTTCCCAGACATCCTGAGATCTTCAAGTGCCAGCTCGCCCCAGCTTTCCCACTCAGCTGAGGAAGAGTGAGCTGCTCCCTACTCAGGGGCCTTCACCTTTCCCTACCTCTGTCTGTGGTAGCCCTCAGCACCCTGACCTGCAGAGATTTCTCTGTGCCCCTCCTCTTAGCCCACTCCTTCCCCAAGGCAGGGAACTGGCCAGGAGACTGTCATACTCTCTGCCACAGGAGGCCCTGGGGGTCGTGGGGAGGGATGAATGCATGCCAGGGCAAATGGACCCTGGTAGGGGAGCCAGAGGTGTCTGGGGAAGCCCTGGCTGGGCACTTCTTGCATGTGGGGTGCCCCTGGGCCCCGGGGGCTTGTCTGTGCCTGCCTCCCCCTCCAGATCTAAGGGAGAAGCCAGTGTGACAGAGCCACCAGCCCAGCCTCAGTGGACTGGGACTGGCCTCAGAGCTGGCAGGCCCCAAGCTAGTGAGTGAGCAGGGAGTCAGCTTCCATCCATTAGGCCCACAGCCCGGCAGCCGATGCTGAGCGGACGTTCTGCTCTTGGCCCTGCTATCTACTTAGGCATCGTTAATATTTTACGCTGCAGAGCCAAGGGATCAATGTCTTGTTTATAGCTCAGTGTTTATGGGCAGCCATTGGAGCTTTCATAGGGAAGATGTGCAGGAGCACCGGGGAAACTGAGGCAGGAGAGCAGGGCTGGGAAAGCCCGAAGAGGACCCCAAGATGGCGTCCTTTGCTTGCTTGGTTCTGTCCTCTCACCACTCACATCTGGCTCCCTGGACACACCCAGCTTCCGAACACACCTTAAAGGGCCATGCTGGCCCCTTCGGCCCCACCCAGCGAGGCTCTCACTTTGGAGACTTTCACACACACTAGTAACTTGCCTGGTCCCACACGTTAGCCTCTCTGCTTACACTGCCTTTGGCCATTGGAGACTCATTGCATCCCACTGCAATGGAATGGAAAACTGTGTTTACGGTGCTTTAAAAATGTCTCCAACAACTCAGACTGTTAACTAGTGCAGCGTTTTTCAACCGCTGTTCTGCGGCACACTAGTGTGCCGCGAGATGTTGCCTGGTGTGCCGTAGGTGCAGACAAGACAAGAATTTTATAATTTTTCACTATTTTGTTTACTTAATATTTCATAATAAAGTAATTATAAAATACTTTGTGTTTATTTGATTCCTATTCAAGAGAATTACTTTATATATAGTCAATATAGGCACACAGTTAAATTTTTTAACATTTTCTAATGGTGGTGTGCCTCGTGATTTTTTTCATGAAACAAGTGTGCCTTTGCCCAAAAAAGGTTGAAAAACACTGAACTAGTGTTAAATCCTGAGGTTGAACTGCTCGGCCCAAAGTGAGGCGCTGAGCAGCCTCCTCCCCTTCCGTTTCCACAGAAGCTGCACCCGTATCCTCACTCTAATCCACGCTCTAGGTCCCGCTTTCCTCCTCTGCACAACAGGGGAAAAGAAATGCCTCCTGGGGGAGCCCTCGAGGGTGACAAGTAACCCTAGCGAGTTGGCTCCTGTCGCTAGCTCCAGGGGGCCCTCCGCGCACAGCTCTGTGCTGGGACACAAGTACCCGCTCAGGGTTTGTGATGACAGAATGAATGCGTTGCAGAGATTCCCTAAGTGGGAGTTGCGATTGTTCAGGTCCCAGATGCAAACAGGGTTCACGCTCCTGGGCGTGGACCGGGTCCGGGTTTCCCTCCACGAGGGTTCGGGGAGGACAGAACTTGTCCGCAGCGCCGTGCGCGCCTCGGTCCTTAAGCCCAGGATGGAGCGCAGCGCCCACCGGAGGAGCAGAGAGGAGCGGCTCCAGCTCCTTGTCTCCGGGATCCCGGGTTCCGCCCTGCCACGCCCCTCATCTCCCCTCCTTTTCTCCTTCCTTTCTGCCGCGTTTCTTTCCCACCTAGTGCCCGGGCAGGAATAAAGGCAATCAACAAACTAACTGCCCTCTCTGCCCGGCCCGCGCGGAGCGCTCGGCACGCACTTCGCTCTTCCCCGCAGTTGGGAAGGCAACAGGCCCTCCCAGAGGAGCTGAGGTTCCGCAGCTAAGGCAGGACTTGAACTCAGCTTCGCGGACTCTGGTGCCAAAAGTCCACACGACCTCTTAAAGCCCCGAGCGCACCCGGGTTTCCAGAACTGAAGAATTTTGGAGACCGGGGTCAAGTTTAATCTCCGGCTGAGGGCTGAACTATGGAAAACCCCGGGCCGGTGGGCTCCCGGATCCTTCGAAGGCCAACTCCGTGCGGCGGCGGCGGCGGCCAGCCTGCGCACCTCATCCCGGAGGGGGAAGCCTCGCCTCCAGGCAGCGGTGCTGCGCTCTTGCTTCCCAGTCCCTCCCTGCTCCGGAGGGGGAACCACCCGGCCCGCGGCCTCCCGGGGCTGGCGGGGAAGCGGTGGCCCGGAGCCAGGCTCTGTCCGGGGCTGAACCTCTCGGGGCGGGGCCGCCTCCCCCCGCCCTTCCCGGCGCGGTGGGGGGGCCTGAGGGGACGCCTCCAGGGTGGTCGCCACGCCCAGGCCAATGAGCTTGCGGGAGCCGCGATGGAGGCTGGGTGCCCAGGAGGGCCGGGACCCTCGCATACCTGCTGCCGCTGGGCCGGAGAGGGGGAAGAGGCGCGGCGCCTGTGCGGGGCATGGAGGCGCCTCTGGCCCGCGCCGCCGCCGCCGCGCCTCAAAGTTTGCCGACTGACTCAGAAAGTTGCGCCCCGGATCGGCCGCCGCGCTGCGTCGCATCTCCGGGCCGGGCCCAGCTCGCCGCCGCCGCCCTGTGCGGGGCCCCGGCCCCGCAGACACCCGCAGCCCCGCCTGCTGGGGGCATGTGAGCCGCAGCCTCCCCCAGAGCCGGCGGGCGACACCGGCCCGGCGCCTCGGAGGCAGCGCGCGGGCCGCCATGGGCATCCAGGGCATGGAGCTGTGCGCCATGGCCGTGGTGGTGCTGCTGTTCATCGCCGTGCTCAAGCAGTTCGGCATCCTGGAGCCCATCTCCATGGAAGGTACCGTGTGCTCCCGGCCCGCTGCCCTGGGCCAGGGCCGGCGTCCGTGGGGAGGGAGCCGCACGCCTCCGGTTGGGCACGCCTAGCTCCGCCGCCCGGCCGCCTCCCGGCTCTGGGGCGCTGGCCTGGGGCTAAGGGGTCAGAGAGGTCTTGGGCCAGAGTGGCCTCCAAGGGAACGGAACCGCGGGGCTTAAGGTGGGTGTGAGCGGGATGCCAGGTGGCACCCTGAGCCGCAGCCCCGGCCGTCTCAGGCCTCCCGGTCTGAGTGTCCGCGGTGAGCAGAGCAGCTTGGGCCGCCCGGTGGCCGGAGGTGCAGAGGGTGAAGCCTGCAAGACCCTCCGCCCTGGGTGCTGGGCTGTGAGTAACATACGGCCTCTGCTGTGCGTTCCCAGCTGTCCCTTCGCCCCCATCCGACACCAGGTGAAGCTCAGGCCCACGGGATCAGTAACCAAATCCTCAGGCGCCACATTTCTGCCCCAATAAAATATTTAACGGAGGAGACAAACCTCTTAAATCAGACACTGCCGGCTCCCCCAGACCCCTGGCAGAGGCCTGCTTCCCAGCCCGGGGTGCCTCCTAACCACAGGCAGGCTGGGGGAGGAGCCCCTGCAGGGCACACCCATCCTGAAGGGGACCTTGACTCACCAGGGCTGTGACCTGCCTCCCGCAGTACCAGAGGCAGTTGTACCCCTGGACTTCGGGGAAGGGGCCAGCCGGTCCTGCTCATGTCACCTGTGTTCCCCTGCTGTCCTCTCAGAGGAGCATGGACATCCACCTGCCTCAGCGCTCTGCTGACCTTGCCAGGGTCCAGCTCCTGGGACTGAAACCCAGAGGCCCGGGGAGGGGAGGGAGGGAACCTGGCCCTGTCTCCCAACTGCCTGCAGCCCCTTGGGGATGCACCCAATCCCTGCAAAGGGCTGCTGAGGGCAGAAAGGGCACAGGGCCAGGAAGCCAGGCTTTCCCTCCATTCTGCCTTCTCTACCTGAAGTCCATGCCATGTGCCCTTCAAACCCATCCCGCTCCATCACACCTTTTCTAGGTGCGTTTGGCAGGCCCAGCTGGAAGAAACTTGCTGGGTTGGTTCTGAGAGTTATCACCTTAACCTTCACACCTGGAGAGGAAGCTTGTCCATGCCAGGTCTGCATTGGCTGGATGTGACCCAGGCAGGGGCAGTCTGCCATGGGGGGCCTAGAGGGCGATGCAGGCACTTGGGCTGAGGTGGGGGGCTGAGCACTCCACACTGCTGTGGAACCCCGCTTCTTGCCAGGCACTAGCATATCCTCAGTCTCTATCCCTTACACAGGATAGGTGTGTAGGTGTGGGGGGTCTCGCCTCCCTCCCCGGGTGGACCACGAAGGCTGTGCTCCCAGGGGCTGCTCTGGCAGGTGGGCGGCCGTAGGACAGTCAGGAATGTGGGTGAAGGTGCTACGGGGCATCCTGCTCACAGGTCTGGGCCAGACTGCAGTCAGCTGTTGTGATTCCTAAGGAGAATGGATTTCTACACCAGGTGGAGAGTATGCACAGGACTCTAGGTGCTCTAGCCAACCCGTTAAAATACCCACCTTAGGCTCAAATGGGTTTCTCTTTCTGGAATATTTGCCCACTTGTTCCCCTGAAGTTCTGGAGTCTGGATGCTGTGGGAGGAGCATAGCACCTCAGAGTCAGCCAGGAGTCTGTCACCCACACATACTGGCCGTAGATCTCCCTTAACCTTTCTGAGCCTCAGTTTGATGCTCTATAAAGTGGGGCCAGTAATAATTCCTGCCCTATTACGCTGTGGCTGACTTGTAACTGGTCAGGGGGCTGTCACGGCCCCAGAACTGTTCTTGGTGTGTGATAAATGCACAGGCTTGGTGAACTATTGCTGACATCCATAACGAGTAATACAGGGATGAGTTGTACTAACAGAAGTGATTCACTGCTGAAAACATCCTCTCCCTCAGACAGGCCCCTGCCTGCACCACAGGGAGAGGGCTGTAGTTTCCGATGCTCCTTGTTGATGGGGAGTGGGGCCTGGTAAGTGCCTGGGAGGGCCATTGGCTGGGCAGTGTCTAAGGGACTGTCAGATGGGCTGTGAGGAGCCCTAGCCCTTGGGCTCCAGCCTGGATGTGGGCTGGCATGAAGGGAAGGGAACTGGTGCCCAAGTTCTTTCCACGCCTGTGTATGTGCGCATGTACGAGTGTGTACACACACACACACACACACACACACACACAGAGGGATGTCTCTCTTGTCCTCTCTGAGCCTCCGTAGTGCTCATCTGAAGAGACCAGACCGGAGTTATGAGGCCCCTGGGGATTGTTAGGAACTAATGGATCCGGGTTGTAGGGATGCAGGTTTCTAGAAATAGATGCAGAAGTTGAAAGGCCTTCCTCTCTCTGCCCTGGTCTCCTGTCAGTCTCTGCCTCTGGTGACCTGTCAGGGGGAGTTCCAGCCTGGCTGGTCACCAGCTCACTGGGCGACTTTGGGGTACTGTAGTTTCCACATCTGCGGAATGAGGATAGCAATAGACTACTTCCCCATGCACTTCAGAGAGGTGGGGTCAACAATCACACTTTGCAAATTACAAGTGGAACTCAGCTCTAAGACCCTTCGAGAGCTGGGGCCCACCTCGACTGACCAGCCTTGTTCTCAAGACCAACAGAGCCCTGACTCCAGACCTTTGTGTCCACACCTGGGGCCCAAGGCTTGACTCTGGCTGCTTCTTATCTCAGTTCAGGTTTGCTAAGTTCTAGACTAATAGCCCTCAGTGGACATGTGGTAATGTCTGCAGGCTCAATTGTGAGGCCGGAGTGTAGATGGCTGAAGGGAAAAGAGGAGGGAAGGGGAGCATGGGGCATGCCCATAACAGACTGATGCGTGGCCTGGCCCACCACCACTGTTCCTCCAGCGCAGCCCCATCCTCCATAGCTGCCTCCTTCCCACAGCACCCATGGGGCCTGGCCTTGCCACGGGGACCTGGAGCTTATATAGAGGGCTGCCTGAGAAGGCACATGGACATTCTTTAAATTGTTAGCTGAGCCCCAGGCACTGGCAGAGTACCTTTGTCTAGGAGTCAGCAGGGGCGGGTCTAGATATGTAAATCCAGTAAAGCTAGGGCCTAGTTAAGAATGCAAATAAGCTCCTTTGACCCTATAAAATAAACCTGCTGTGTGGCTCAGTGCTCGCTGCCTCTCCATCAGAGAAGATGGCACCCATCTAGCACCCAGCTTGATGAATCTATTTCTGACTCTTGGTCTCTTCTTTCATTCTTTAATTTCTTAATCCCCAGCTTCTCCACTCAGGAACCTGTCACTTTCCGTATGGACACTGAAAACAGAGAAACAGGCCCCCCACAAGCCTGGAAGACCTGTGGCTACTCTTGGCTTGGGCCCCTGAATTCCAGCCACGCCCTCCTGGCCCGCCGCCGCCCCCCCCCCCCCCCCCCCCCCCCCCCCGCCCCCTCTCCTACCAATGTCGGATTTGCTCAGGGTGTCCTGGGCTCGCTTGCCTCTGGCAGGGGCCGCCGCTCTTGGTGCACTGCAAGTCCACCAGTGTACATTGGCCCTGACAGTTTTCAGATTTAGGGTGCTGATGACAACGGCTAGCCAGCATCTAGCGAGTGCTCTCTCAGGCTCTCTGTGCGTGCCAGCATTCTGTCCTCATTTTAGGCTCATTTTACAGATGAGGAGACTGAGGCTCAGGGAGAGGAACTGACTTTCCAAGGATACCCATCCAGAAAGTGGCAGAGCCAGGACCTTTCTGAACTTTGGCACACTGCGTGCGCGTGTCAGATTGTGCAAGGCTGCGGGGGCTGTGTGTGCCCCAGCCTCTTACAGCACAGGTGTCAGGAGCTCAGAGTGGAAGCAGTCGCCTGGGTCAAATCGAAAGTGGGAAGAGTCCCACTCACAAGCCTTGTGAGAGCCAACTGAGTGTGAGCAAAGCTCAGGAAGCAGAGCATGGCACAGAGGAGCATATTGTGTCGGCTCCCATGGCTTCGGGCAGAAGGAACCTGGCCCCAAGGACCCCCGGGGTCATGCACCACTGACTGTGTCCAGATAAGCAACAGTTGAGCCAGAGACTAGGGGGCGGGGCCTATAGCAACATCAAGCCTGGGGCTCCAGCCCACTTCCCCGTCCAGCAGAGACCAGAAACCCCCACGCTGCCAAGTCCACCTCTCTCTTCCCTTCCCCCAGAGCCAGCCCAGCAGGCAGTAGCCTGGGCAGTGGGGACAGGTGCCTTCCTGGACCTTACGGAGGACAGATGCGCATGGTGGTAAAGAGCCTGGCAAGGGCCTCCTCCTTGCCCACTAACTTCTAGCACAGTCAGTGGTGTGTGACCCTGTGGTCACTTGGGCTCGGTCATTTCTGCCAGAAGCAATGGCTCTGCTTTCTGAGCTCTGCATCTTAGCTCAGGGGTCTCCTCTCCGATGATGATCTGTTTTAGACATTCTTCTTTTGTCAGTTGTGAGCATGGACATTGTCTTCTCCCATTCTGCTGAGTGTCTTTAACTGGCCTTGGTTGAACAGAAATCCTTCATTTTAATGGTATTGAATTTTTAAATTTTTTTCCTTTATGCTTTGAGCTTTTGACATTTTCAGAAGTCTTTCTCTACCAGTTAGTTAGCAAGATACATTTTATTTGAATTCTGCAGCTCACCTTTCGTATTCGGGTCCTAGTTCACCTGGAGCCCACTTTTGCACGTGGCACAAAGGGATCCAGATTCATGTTCTGTATGTGGGGAGCCATCTTTCCTAACTCCATCGACCACACAATCTGACCTCTCCTCAGTCTCCTGCCCCCTCTATGCCTCTTTGTTTTTTGACCTTCCTGTTCTGCTTGTGGGTTTGCTTGTTCTTGCACCAACCACACAGTTTTAACTCGGTGACTGCAGTGTGTAGGAGTATCTGGTAGGGGAAGCGCCCTCTGTACTCTTTTCCAGAATTTAATGGACCTTTTATTCCTCGTTCTACATTTCAGAGTAAATTTATCAAGCCCCTGAAAGGCCAACTAAATTTTTT